ACACACCCACACACACACACACACACACACACACACACACACACACACACACACACACACACACACACACACACACACACACACACACACACATATCATTCATTAGTGTCTTCCTCACACTTAAAGGCATCTGGTGGGAAGGAAGCAGAAGTCGGCCATCGGGGTCCGTCGTTCCCGTGGCGGGAGTCATACATCTTCCGATTCAAAGACGGGGAAAGCGTTCCCATCGGCCCTCGCCGAGCGCCCCAGGGACTCTGTCGACAAACTGCGGCTGGAGAGGACGCTGCTGAGGCTGGACTGGCGAGCGCCTCTGGGCTGCCTCTCGATCTCCACGCGCACTTCGATGTTGGTTCCGTCCCTGCGGCCGCAGAACAAATCAAATGAAGTCAAGACATTGCAGTGGTCTTGGCTGAGCAATTTTCTTCAAAATGCAAAATTTAGCCAGCGGGGGGCACAACATGTATTTTGAGCTCGCAATCACGTCAGACGGATGATGGTCTGTATCTAGAAAAACTCGGATCTCAAGGCGCCGACTCGTATGACGTCCCACTACCGAGTGACGCCGTTTACCTCGAAGCACCGTCGCACTCCGATCGTCCAGCCTCACGGGGGTACCCGTGGCGTTTGGGGGACTCCTCGGCCGCGACAGATCCGGGTGTGGCGCTGGGGAGTGTGGGGGGCACGGGAAGTGCGGGGCCCGCTTCCTGCACGCTGACCTCCTGCACGCTGGTGTCGGCTAGCGTCGGGCTGCTCTGAGCCCGCCAGTGGTCACTCACCATGTGAGAGAGAAGTAGATCTATGAGGAAAACAACACAAGGGAGTTAAACGAACGGTCCCAAGCACCTGTCCGCGGGCCGTTGGGCACCAAGCTGTACAGAAAATAATCAAAAAAAATAATCAATCAAGCCATTTTCAAACAGACATTTAGGTTGGCTGTTGTGATTGAATGCTTGTGGTCGTGTGTCCTGTTGTGAGAGAACGTTTACGAGTGCAGCAATGTTACCCGGGGGCATGTAATGCAATGGGAACAACTATTCCTAGGCACGCCTGAAACGGTTCTCGGCGAGAGAGGAGAGAATCGAAGTCTCCTCTGAAGAAATCTTTTTTTGCGCACATTGTTTCATTCTTAGCACTTCATTCAATGATGTTCTCACTGCCGACAGTGTATTTTCGGGTGCTGTTTTCTTGAGCGCAACCACTTTTTATTGGGTGTTTCGGGGACGGATGCCATTCCGATTCATTTTGAGTGACGAGCCCGGTCACGGAGCAAATGAAACTGCTATCTCAAGGAGACACAAGATGTACTTGCATACGAGTGCTGATGGAAAACAAGCGTCACTCACAGCCGGCGATGTCCTCCAGCGTGTCGGGTGCGTCGGCGGGCGGTCGACACCAACCGTTCCTGCACAGCGACATGGGCACCACCCCGTACACGTACGTCAACATGAGCGGCACGCCCACGCCTGCGCACATTTACCACGTTGGTTTTGACTGCGTTGCCACGAGGAATCACGTCAAACCGACGCGCCCAACGCTCTCTTCTCACCTACGGTGACAGCCGCGATGACGGGTGACACAAACACCGACATCATGACGCCACTCGCCACCGTCAAGTAGTGCTTACTTCCTGAGATGTTGTTTTTCTTACAACGGCCGTGGACCTGCAAACGGGCAAAACGGCAAGGCTGTCAACCTCAAGATGAGCACCGGGGCTGCGCTGCGTCGGGTGAAAATCGGCAATACGGAGAGCCCGTTTGCCATTCTTGACAAGGAAGTCATTTTCATCACAGGCGACGGGGTTCTTGCATCGACGGTGACGCGAGCGGAGCGGCGCGTACCTTTCGGCCCATGTAGATGGGGATGCCCACGATGATGACGGGGATGGCGAGGCCGGCGATGAGCGAGATGACCACAGGGGCGCCCAGCAACATGCCCACCTGCCACAGAACTTTGCGTGTCTGAGACCACGGCTTCTTGCCCCAGAACGTACACCCTGAGGGACTGAAGCGCAAACACCAGGCATGGGGTCATGAGACTTTTTGGTAGGTCTACTTATGTTAGCCACAGCTATTCAATTTCCATTTCAATTTCGGGGGTTAAACATGCGCGTTTACCTGAGGTAGTGCACGTCGGTGATCTCTTGCATGCACAGCCAGCAGAACTGACAAGCGCACACCGTACAGTTCATGCGGTTACAGCTGCCGTCGTTGGTCTTCATGATGTAAGCGCCGCAGCGAGGGCACGGCTTGATCTCCTCCCCATCTGCGCGGGGGAAAAAAAAAAAACGTGTCAAAAGTCGAGCTTGTGTGCTACTTGTTGAGCGAGCGCTGTCAATGTGGTCACAGCAACAACACGGGCTATTTGCCTGCTTGTTGCAAGGTCGATTAGAGGCACGATCCTTGGTGCAGACGATTGTTCGGACGTGCGCACCTCCTCCAGGTTCCTCACTAAAGACGTAGAGCGCAGAAGCGTCCTCGCTGCCCAGCCCTTGGTGCGCGCGCTGGCGGCGCGCCTGGTCGCAGGTCTGGTTGGGGTGCCACAGCTGGCGACAGTGGTAGCAGAACTCGGTGTCGCAGCCGTCGCGCCCGCACCTCAGCTTGGGACACTCGGCGCAGCCGTATGCGATCACCGCGTAGCTGTGGACCAAGGACTACGAGTTGCTAGGCTGAATTCTTGGGCTCCAATCAATTCTTATATACATCAAGATCTTACAACGGTTCTGTTTTCATTGTGAAAATCCCAAGATTGTTTTTTTTTTTTTGGGGTGGGGGGGGGGATACTTGTAACTAGGCAGAAATTCAGGCCCCGTTATGTCTTAACTAAAGAAAGTAAGAGAAGGCAGACCTGCAGTCCGGTGCGGGACACCAGCGCGTGTCCGGGTCAGCGGCCAGGAAGCGCCGCAGATGGTACTCCTCAAACCTCTCCAGCAGTGCCGGGTCATCCAGGATGGTGCGCACATCCAGGGGCGCCAGGGCCTCGGGACACTGCGGGCAAGCGATGCCCACGCGGCTCTCGGAGATTTCGATGCGCAGGTACTGGCGCAGGCAGTCGGCGCAGGTGCGATGCGGGCAACTGAGCAGCGTGGGGAAGCGGCGCCGCGGCTGGCTCAGCAGGCACAGCGGGCACTCCTCCAGGTGCTCGTCTGCCGCCGGCTGGTCCTGGCTGGACGAGGACAGCGACAGGACGTCGCTGCCGCCGGTGGCGCCCGTGCCCGTGGGCAGGCTGGACACTGTCGACGCCGCTGCGGCGCAGTCCTCCGCGTGCGCGGCACCACCGTTGCTGCTTTCTGCTCCCGAGAGTCTCCAATCGTCAGAGTCTTTGGTCGCCTGATCCTAGGCAGACAAAAACACGCGCTCACGCTCTTCGACGAGAGCCCGACCTTGTCTTGAGCTCTTTGATACCCTAACCCCATCTTCGAAACCCTCCCTTGAAACCATTTATTTATTTTTTGCAATGAACCAGTGAGTAAACCGACTTTGTCTGCGGTTAAATCATGACTGCAGGTGGATGTTGGTCGCGGCGCGCCGACTCCGGTTGCTAGGCAACCTCATTGAGGCAAATTAGCAATTCATTAAATCAACACTCTAATGGATTTGGGCTGTAACGGGCGCAGGCAGCAGCTGAGCCACCCAAAGTTAATCATCGACAGCCTCGCTCTCCTCTTATGCTCCCCTCTTAGCGTCCTGTTGACGTTTCTGTTCCAGGACAAATGGTCTCGTTTGAAATGTGCCTTAGAAACAAAGGAGCATTACACGAGAGCACGGCACGTTAGTGTGGCGCTCAAGGCCGCGTGATCCGAGACCAGAAGTCAGCCAGACCGACACCTGTGGAAGTACAGACTGAGAGAAGACCAAGACCATAAAAATCGTTTTTAAAAGCCATGACTAGCTTGGCACTTGCTCTTTCTTTTTCACTTTCTTTTAGATACATTTGACATCCAAAAACATGTGTGGCGTCTCCAACGCTTTCAAAGTACTCCAGGATCAAATCTCAAGTCTTAATTTTTTCCATTTAAGGGTGGAAAGATTCATCTCCAACAGACAAAACCCGATTTGGTGGTCTCACTTGCAGTTGAGCTTAGCTTCCCTGTGTTTGTTTTCTTTCGGGATGCCAACACTGGCTAAAGTTTGACAAGGTGTCTGCCGTTTTAGTGAGCGGAAGTATTTTAATCACAAAAAAAAAAAAAAAAAAACCACCCAAAAAACACACGTTGTGGTTCCAATCCAAATTCCAGGTCCCAAATTTAGACGGATCTGCCCTTACCTGGTGCGGCAGCTGTTGGCTGAGGGTGAGCGTAATGGCCACCTCCTCTTTGGGCCGAGCCTCAGCGGGTTTTTCAGGCCGCGCTTCCGATTTGGGCTTTCGGCTGAAGAAGTTGAGGAAGCTGAGCGGCCCCCCCGTCTGCTGCTTGGGCCTCTTCATGCTCGGCGGCTGGAGCGGCAACTGAGGACGAGCGCGGGTCCGCGACCATTAGCGCCAGCGCAGTGTGTGTGTGTGTGTGTGTGTGTGTGTGTGTGCGCGCGCGCGCGCATTCTCACAGTAAGAAAGGGAGCGATGGTGATGACCAAAAGGAGGTGACCTCCGTCACTAAGGGAACATCACCGAAGCTGATTCATGGACAGCTTTCTTCTTCCTCTGGATTGTACTCGAGTACTTTTAGGCCTCCTTTTCACAGCAACTGCATGCAATAAAATAAAAAATAGTTATTCAAAGGAGGTGGTTCCTAATTTTTGGGATACCTTATTAGGGGCGAGAGGGTCAAAATGTTCGAAACAGCTCTCAGTATAAAGACTCGAAGGTTCGCAACTCTGCCAAATACAACCACGATAAATGAACGGTTTGCCTTACGTATGACCATTTTTAATTAATGAATTACCTTTGATTCATGAACACATTTCAAATCAAATTAATATGTAAAAATGATTTAGATACGTATTAGAGCAGTACTGAAGTATGCCTGCCATCTAGTGGTCAATGGTGGGATGATCCTTTCAAACTACACGGTGTAAAGCAGCTATTCGCAGGGGATAGCGCAGGGGGAAAGAGAAGTTGCCCATCCCTGCCTGTAAATGAGGGTTCAACATCATTTCCCGAAAAGAGCCAACGCAAGGCTTGATAATAAACAACAAAATGACAAGTACAGATGGCAGCATGACACACGCGGCATCTGCCACAGCCACCAAACGGAAGCCGCCCGCCGTCTCGCGCGCTCGGCGGCGAGCGACGTGTGTTTGGAAGGCCGCGCAATCTGCCGAGAGGGAACGGCCGGATCGTTTGCGCTTTGGAGTGCCGCGACGCCTTCCCCGCGCAACCCTCGCCGGACGCCAGTGCGCAGCAGCAATGCGGCTTTTCGCGAAGGGTGACCCCCAGCCTGCCCGCGCGTGCACGCTGAGCGGCATCCTCTCGCACACGGCTGCGGAAGCCCTCAATAAAATATGTTGTCAAGACCACTTTTTCTTTCTTTCTTTTTTGTTTGTTTGTTTTAACACCAAGTAGAAGTACGTTTGAGTCGTGTAATAGTACTTTATCATGCCAGTCCGTCTTGCAATTCTGATGAAAATGATTTGTATTTTTTTAAGCACGCACGCACACACACACACACACACACACACACACACACACACACACAAACACACACACACAAACGTTTTCTGAATGTGAAACAGACTTTTTATTAATCTCGGAGACATTGCTCTCATTGATTGGACGACTGACTGAAGCGATGGATATTAGACTTAACACATATGTAATTGGCTGGATCAAACCGACGGATATTTTGCATTTCATGCAAAATTGGCGATTGATCGTGATGTCATAATTTGCGCAACTCCTTTTGAAACGTGCCAAATTGTGCCCCAAAGTCTGAACACTAGGGGGCGCAATAACAAAGGAGCGACAACGATCGGAGACGAAGACGAAATAAGAGCCAAACGAACGCAGTTTCTGAAAACACTTATCTACGATCTCAAGTCCACAATCGCCAATGAAATGAATGGAAATATAATTCATCTATTACTCCTTCCCCAACAAAACACCCAAATGTGTGTTTATTTCCGCAATAAAATTGCAAGATAGAAACAGTAAAAAATAAATAAATAAATAAAAACATCGGCTATTCACGTAACCTGTCAAGATGTAAAATGTGAGCATAAAACAAGTGCACCCAACGTTGCCTTGCTTGTTCTTCTTCCGTGGGGTTTATTTTGCGGATGACAAACCCCTTGACTGTGCATTGGCGCCACCAACTGAAACTGTCTTGGCACTGCAGGGAAACCAATACGAAGTGGTGGTGGGCGAATGTCAAGGCAAGGCTCGGACCTGCGTGCGACTCGGAGCTTCCTTTCCGATTTACACAGCAAATTGATGGATGACGAGTTCTGGTGTCGGCCGTTTTGCCTGCCTGGTGTTGAATTTCCGAACGGTTGCGGCGCGTTATTTAGCAAAACGCAGCCTGCTGCGGTGCGGTTCTCGCAGCAACTTCACGTGCAAGTCCGAGCGGGGCGTCGCGATGGCAAGCGAGGGAGTGGCGCTTTTCAATAGCTTGGCACGGAAAAAAGCCCCGCAACGCAACAAGATGCCACCAAAACATGGAGAGCAAGATGCATTACGTAAACGGCTTCCTACCTCGCTGTGCGCGGCGCATTACACAAATGGCTCCTCCCCTAAAGCAGCATGGAAAATCCTCAGGCGGTGTCCTCCTCTTGCCCGCTCTCTCTCTCTCTCTGTGGAGGGGGGCGCGGGAAGGGGGGGGGGGGGGCACACTGCGGTGACATGGACCAATGGGATGACGCAGGAAGCTGAGGGTACTCCTATTCATAAACAATACAAATAAGATCAAATAGAGGGCGGCCGCGCTCATGCAAGCACCGTTCGTCAACAACACGCATATTGCTCGTCTATTTTATTCTTTTTGTTTGTTATAAAACAAATATGGGATTCGGCTAAGGTTTCTTATGCACATTGCTCCTCTATTTTATTCTTTTTGTTTGTTGTAAAACAAATATGGGATTCGGCTAAGGTTTCTTAGTTGTACCCAAAACGTTTTGTTTTTCCTTGCACTCCTGTGTGGATCAGATCAGTTGTTGTGATTAATATTTGTCAACAGTGGGCCTGTGCAGCCCTTCGAGACTGTTTTCTAACTAAAGGCTATCTAAATAAATTAGACGTGACTTGACAAAAACACCATCACAGAAAGTTCAAATGACAATCAAGGTTTTGGCCAACACAGTGGTTTGTGAACATAAAGCCGGAAAAACACACACACAAAAAAGCCCCACTTTTGTCACTTATTGGCTTCATCTGGCCATTCAAATTAGATCATGTGCTTTTTAAAAACATCTATTTTAATGCGCCAATTAAACACCTGCATTCTCTGACCTCAGTTTTGTCATAAAGCGATTATTATTTTCGACATGTTCAAACGACGACTTGCTCGTTAAATTACCCCTCCTCCGCCACGACGTAATATCCCGTACCGATTTCGATCGTTTCAAAATAAAAGTTCATTATTTGCCAAATAACTACGACAGGAGTCTGAAGAAACCAATCCAGTGAAACATAGAATTGTGGCACTTGTGTTATAAATGATGGCTATACAAGACAACAATTGAGATGTGATTGTTATGCCGGTCATTAAAAACGCAGTATTTAGCCAGAACATTCATGCCGAATGTTATGCCCTCTGCCCCCCGCCCAAAAAAATCTATCTCGATAATGACGTCATGAGATGACAAAAAGCTCCAGTTTTGTCGTTGTGAAAACAAACGAACGAACGGTTCAAAGAATGGCACAAACAACCGCAAGAGCGATTCGCCCTTTACTGCGAAGGAACGCCCTCCCCCCGCGCCGGAAATGTCCTTGTTGTTCCTCGCTGGGAGCTCACACAGGCGAATCAGAAAATCAATTAAGTTATGAAAAATACCATTAATTGCCTTTCTTCGTCGCCGCGGCTCGCGAAGAAATGGCGGACGTGCGTGTGTGGCGGGCTCGCGGAGCCACATGTCTCCTCTAAAAGGGTGCGCTGCGGCGAGGACTACTTTCTGCGCTTAGGTGAGCTAGCATGACGGACTCATTTGGTCAAGTTGACGTTAGCTTTCACCCCGGCTGGGTTAAAAAAAAAAAAAAAAAAAAAAAACCGAGGGAGCTTTGACGTGACCGCCGCCCACTAATGACATTTAAGGACGAGCCTCGTCTACGGAGGGCTTTTGTGTCTACCGACGTGTGAATCAATGGGTGTCTTAAAATGCCGAGTCGTGCGGTGTTTTCTGTCGCTTCGTCTCTTAGAAGCTGCTAGCCGCATGCTCTTCTTTTGTGGACATGTTGTCATTAAGTCGTCACCCCCACCCCTCGGCTCCGCTTGCCTAAACAGCTGCGAATATTGTCCCGATGTGTGTGTTACGAGATGCATTATTCATTTATTCTCCGACCACGATAAGGATTTTTTTTATAGTGTTATAGTATTTAGTTACCTTATCAGTCAACCGAAAAAGAGTTTTCAAACACTCGGGCGCGTCGTAAATTAGTCATTGTTGTCGCATCATTTCTGCGTCAGCGGGGAGGGGCTTCCATCATTGTGGTCATTCATGATTTCGAGATATGTGTATTGTACAAAATGACTAGAAATAAAACACGATCTGTCCATCTGTGTTGTGATTTGCAATTTGGGATCTGTTCTTGCCTTGACATACAAGTTGATTCTGTTGCCTGCGCTCGCAACTTAAAACACAACTCTCAAGTCATCTGTCTCCTTTGAAATGGAAGGCAATGCGTTACAGCCTTCCCCAAAATGCCGACAAAATTGAGGTGACCTGCTGCCAATAAGAAAAATAGCACTTCGTACCGTATTCTACATTACTGATCTCAAATCACAAAAGTCATGAAACACTGCCATCCGCAGGGAGGCATTAGTCATTACAGTAGGTTTACAAACTTGAATGAAACCTGTTTTCTACAAAGAATATACCAAAAATAAGCCATTTTTCCCCTTCCGTCTACAGACTTCTCTAAAAATCACTGGCAGATGTACAACGGGCCGATGGTTGCGGCAGTCCGCGGGGAGACGTTGTCAGTAAAGGAGAGGCTGACTGGAAGATGCCAAGGAAAAAACAACAGCATCCACAGCCAGTCAAGTGTAAGTACTCCAAACAAGGAGTATGTACACGAGAGTTCAGACACCTTACCAGTGACATGTGAATTCTTCTTCTTCTTCTGTCCCCCCCCCAAACGACAGTGGATTCAAAAGCTGTTGTAGTTGCCGCAAGTGCAGGAAACCTCGCCTTCGACACAGACTTCCTCCTGGAACACGACCTTCAATTTGGTGATCCTTATCATAACGGCAAGATTCTTGGCCTGGAAAAATTCTCAGGTTGGTCATCGTACTTGTTTTGAAAGTCCAACCTCTCTGCGTGTGGCAAAATGTGTTTTGGAATTCCCTTGCAGTAAAAGTGACTTTAGGCTTTTGTAAATTGCCGCTTTGTCTTGGAAATTTGCGCATTTTCACGTTTTGTCCCGTGATATTTTTTTTCCACAAAATTGTCTTTCCTTAAAAACAAACAAACAAAAACACCCATTTAGTTTTCTGTCTCATGCCCCAATGAAACTCTGAGCAATATGAACCTAAATATTTGTTGGCGTAATTCCCTTTGGAACAAAAACACCTTACCTTTAAGAAGCCGCATGCAAACTGCTCCGTGTCCTGTTGCTGCACGACAAAATACGGGTGGAAGACTGCAAAACCTACAAAGGATATGTGATGCCATTATTATATAAAGTATAGAAAAAAATAGATCTCTGACCATTACCATCAAGGACACCATCATGAGAAGACGGTGCATTCATCATCATCATCATCATGTGCTGTTACCTCTGCCGCTGCCATTATCATTACCCCATCATCATCATCATCATCATCATCATTACCATCAGCCACCCTCACAAGCATGGTCATCATCATCATCATCATCATCATCATGAAGCTCTGTAATCATCCACTAAGAGAGGGTGGGGGTGTCTAACGCCCAAAAAAGGGGCGACCCAAACTCTCGGCTCTGCTCACATATCGCTCTCGACATCTTGTGAGGTAAAGCCGCGTTTTCTGAGTCGAGCGTTTTGGCGGTGGATCCTTGCAATCCGTGAGTATCAAAGAGTGACGTTGGACGTCATCAAATTGGAGTCACAAGGACGTGTCGCGCGTGCACGCCTTGATGATGATGGTGATGATGAGCGCGCTTCTTTTCATGCTCTTGAGCTCAAAGTGCTGATGTTTGGTTTCGTTGTGGCCACCCAACGGAGGAAGGCGCTTGACGACCATGAGAGTTGCGACGCTTTTTTGGCAACGTTTTGCGATCTGAACGGCAGTGGCGAGGGAGGTTGGTATGAAGGGGGGGGGTTATTTACGATGGTCTGGCAACAGGAACTCTACCCCCCTTTGTTAAAGAATTGTTTCTCTGTCAAACGTGCAAGTAATTATCTATTTTTGCATCCAATGTCCAGTGGTGTTACCCATCGCTTTTCGTTTTCCATTCCGACCATTACGGGGCTTCGAGTTTGCTTTGGTGCCTTGTTGCCGCGGTGTGCATCGCCGAGTAAGTCAAAGTGGGACATTGCTCTCAAATGACAAACTGTTGCTGGCATTTATCTTGGAGAGGCGTGACCATTTTTGGGAAGAGTGCCAAAATTACCGAGTAAAATAATTTGAACTTGTCATACTGATCCGTTTTACAATGTGGACCATTTGACGGGTAGCGCAGGGAGATTTAGAAATCACTTGACAAACTGGGATCTCGGGAACAGGCAAGGTAGCAAGATCAAAGCGGTCAAGTTTTCTGCAGCAGTGGACTTGTCAGACCATTCAATGTTTTTGTCTTTTTTCTGCGGTTGTCTTCCTTGCCATTGACGGCAAAGGAGAAGGCGGCGTTCTGCATCTTAAGCATCGTTGTGGCCACGATTTTCAACGCGGACTTCAGACAAAATTTTCAAAGCTTTTGGCAAGAAATGGGAAGACAATATTTCTTGCTCGTATATTGAACTATTGGGGGGAAAATATGTAATAAACATTCATTTCGTGTTCAAAATTTGTGTGGATTTTCATTAGTTGCGGTTGGGCTGAGTACTTATCCCCCATGGATAGCGACGGTCAACAATACTGCGATTGACTTTTGTCTTGTAAAAAGGCTGCGATTCGCAGAGGAGAGGGGCCAATCCTAGCAAGGAATAGCGAAAATCCGCAAGTAAGTGATAGCACCCCACTCAAATAAAGGGGGCTTAGGAGTTGCCTGACGTTGCCACAAGATGGCAGCAATGCGCAACTTTTTTTTCCCTTTGTCTCCAAACTCACGCCAACATAGTTCAGTGGAGCCAACATGCCACAAAAAGGTGGCAAAGCGTTACTTTTCTTGCTTTTGCCTGAGCACACAGACAGCAAATCAAGCTGGATTATTCCTGTTTGTTCCCACGGTAAGTTTATCACTTGCCGGAAAATGTTGCCACCCCGTTACCTGTTTCTCTGACGGTCGAGTCCACCGATCAAGTAGTCGACAGTATTGACGCCGCGGTCTCTCCGTTCCCCCCCTCCGCAGAGGTAGCCGCTGAGATCGGTTTCTCCGTGTATCCTCCGTGTGATGAGGACAGGTCCGACTGCAGGA